TGTAGTACTTTTACTAACTGTACTATAAAGTTTTCTCACTGGTGAATGACACATGATGTAGCCCAGCGGTTCCCAATTCCAGTCCTCGCACAAGGGAAGCAGGGGAAATCCATTGGTGAAGTTTACTTCACTTCGGAACATTCATTCACGGATTTGCGATGCGCAGCGTCTTCACACACAGACGAAACTTACTAGAGAAGTGTGAAGTGTGACATAATATACCTCTGTAAATAAATACTATTTAAATTCACGTCTCGCACACTTTAATGCCCTTTGTATGGAACATATACGCTCGCTTCGAACTGGAATCATGGCGGAATATCCGGTGATGTACACTTCCCAGCGCACTCACGGTCAAATAGAACAAACGTCGCACGTGATAAGAGATACATATGAAATGTGCAGAGCAGGAGGGCACGAGGACTGGAATTGGGAACCGCTGATGTAGCCTATTGTAATAATGTTGTTTCTGGTATTCTGGTCTGTGAGCGTAAATGCGTTCAGGGGGCGTGGCTTTGGACGGCGATTGCAGGGAGGGTGGGACGTTCGCTTTCAGTGCTATCAGGCTAAAGTTAGCATTTTCCAAGATCTCCTACTGCACCTTTAATTATATAATGTGGTGAATGCACACCTATGAATAAATAATAATACAAATAAACAATTACACTTGCAACAATTACATTTGCAGAAAACAATACTTTGTGCTTAAAATTATTATTTTGGGCCTAAACCACAAAATAATAAGCCTAATTAAGGATAGTAGGAGTAATTTTAAACGCACAAACAAAACATTTAAAGTTAAAGTTAGAAAAAAAAGCTGTGATTGCTTTTTTCAGTGTTTAAAAACACTGAACAAAATTAAAAAATATATATATACAGTTTTATTTATCATATATTTTCATATTTATTTCATTTTATTTCTTAATGTGTTTTTGTAAAGTCATAATTTTGTTATAATATTATTTTGAACTGCTTGCTATTAACAAAGTCAATATTAACCATTTTCATAGTGTTATTTCTGCTGTACTATATTAAAGACAAAAGAAAATAATAAAAAACATCATCATAATTATCAGTTAATAATAGTATATAGAACCCACAACAATTAAAAAACAAAAACATTCAAAAATGTTTAGTCCCAAAACTTTATTAGAGGGAGAATTTTTATCAAATATTGTGTAAGAAAAATCTCTAAAAATACGGCCAAATGTACAGTGTTAATATGAATTTTCAGTATTTCTTTTTAACAGATGTTTAATCTGTATTTTAAATGATAAATTGCATTGTGTAGTGTTTTAGAGTTAAAAGAAAGGTACTGTTATTTTCTATCCATTTTTTTATTTTATTACAGTGTACCAAAGGGCATGTTTGATATGAAATATGAGACGTGTATACAAAACAACTAAAAACTCATGTAAATATCGCTCGCTCACAGAATGTTTTTTATTGTGCTTCATTTCCAATCAAGATGTAATTTCATAAAAATATGCAAACTGTGAAAATATTATTTCACTGTATTTACAACACATACAATCAAGTTTTTTTTATTTCAATGGACACAACAATGTCTTAAATTCTGTAAGGAAATTTCTATTAAAATATGTATGCTACTGTATGCCATGGTAGGTACTGTATGAAATTGGCCTAAACAAGGTAAAGGAATCAGACATTTTATTCCAAAACTGTTTAAAATGTAATTTCCTTCACTGTCGTTTTCACCATAGAACGCTATTAAACGACTTACATAATATTTGGTAGGAATGGTCATGATTTTCTAAAGAAAATTACAAAAATTACATAAATATTCTGTTAAACATTTATACATGTCAGCCCTTGTACATTTTTAGTGGACAAATAAATATAGTGAGAGTGTTAAAAGTGTGTTTTAAGTGTCCTTGGTTTCAACCGCAAACATCCTTACCTTGTAGCTTTCAAAGTAGCTTCCTTAAGTTCTTTAACAGTTTTAACTGAGGAACTTTGGGCTCAAATATAAAGTGAGTGGTTTGTGTAGATGCTGAGTGTTAATGCAGTTTATTGCATTAGTGTTTTTCCCTTCACTCAGCAATTGCTCACTGCATCAAGCAATTATAGGGCATGGAAATGCGCCAATGTCATGGGAGCCCCAAAACATTTACTTTTGGAAACATATTTAGAAAGTTCTGGAATTTATTGCTATAATGAAATAAAGTTTCAGACACCAGTACGTTGTAAACAGGGCAAAAAATGCTCAAACAATGCTGCGTTTCAAAATTACCAATAAAAAGTACCCAAGACGTAATTGCCCTCGCTTTAAAAATAACCCTAGCATGCAAGTGTGACTTCAAATTTGTTTATAATGA